GCTGTCTCCATCTTTTTGATATGCCTCTTGTTGCTGTTGTTGTTGTTAGTGCCGTCGAGTCGGTTTCGACCCATAGCGATCCTGAATAGGGTTTCCGAGGCTGTAAATCTTTACGGGAGCAGATCGCCTCATCTTTCTCCCACGGAGCAGCTGGTAGTTTCAAACTGCTGACCTTCCGGTTCGCAGCCCGATTCGTAATCACTACGTGAAGGATCCTATTTTCTTATCCATTCTGCTCTTTATGTTTCCTGATTAAATATAATCCATTTATATTTAGTGTAATTATCAATAGGTATTGATGTAATTTTTCTGTGGTTTTTTTTTTTGGTGGTGCTACTGGATTTTGTAAGGAGCTCTGGTAGCGTAGTGGTTACGAATCGGGCTGCGAACCTTAAGGTCAGTGGTTCGAAACTACCAGCCGCTCCGCAGGAGAAAGATGAGGCTTTCTACTCCCGTAAGGATTTACACCCTCGGAAACCCTGTACAGGGTCGCTATGGGTCGGCTCCGACTCGAAGGCACTTAACAACAACAACAACTGGATTTTGTGCTCCACATAATTTTTGTGCTGAGTTCATTTTGTTTGTGAGTTTTCTTTTCATTTTCAAATCGACTATATCTGTGGAAAGAGACAATGGAAAAGCTCCATATCATCAGTCAAAACAAGGCCGTGGGCTGATTGAAATAGCCCATTAATTGCTCATATGCAAGTTCAGGCTGAAGCTGAAGAAAACTAAAGCAAGTCCAAGAGAGCCAAAATAGAACCTTTAACATATCCCACCTGAATTTAGAGGTGATCATATGAACAGATTTGATGCATTAGATACTGATGACGGAAGACCAGAATTGTTGTAGGATAACATTAAGAATATCAAACAGGAAGAAAGCAAAAGATCATTAAGATAAGAAAGAAGGAAAAGACCAAAATAGATATGTCAGAAGAGACTCTGAAACTTGCTTTCTAGCGTAGGGATGCTAAAGCAAATGTAAGTAATGATATAAAAGAGCGGAACAGAAAATTGCAAAGGGCAGCTTGAGGAGACAAAGGTAAATATTACAATAAAATGTGCAAACTCCTGGAATTAGAAAACCAAAAGGGAAGAACACGCTCAACACTTCTCAAGATGAGGGAACTGGAGAAAAACTTTAAGCCTCGACTTGCAATGTTGAAGGATTCTGTGGGCAAAATATTGAATGATGCAGAAATCATCAAAATAAGATGGATGGAATAGAAAGTCACGACCAAAAAGAAATGGTCGCTTTTCAACCATTTCAAGAGGTAGCATATGATCAAAAGCCAGTATTACTAAAGGAAGAAATCTAAGCTGCACCAAAGGCATTGGTAAAGAACAAGACTTCAGGAATTTATGGAATACAAATTGAAATCTTTTCAGCAAACTGATACAGCACTGGAGGCACACACTCATTTATGCCAAGAAATTTGGTTGTCAGCTACCTGGCCAAGTGATTGGAAGAGATCCATGCTTATGCCTGTTCTAAAGAGAGGTGACCCAACAGAATGCAGAAATCATCGGGATATCATTAATATCGCTTGCATGTAAAATTTTGCTAAAGATGATTTTAAAATGGCTACAATTGTACATTGACGGAACTACAAGAAGGTCAAGGCAGATTCAGACACAGTACTTGGAATGAGGGATAGCACATTGCTGATGTCAGAGTCAGATGGATCTTGACTGAAAACAGATTATCAGAAAGATGTTTACCTATGGTTTATTGACTGTGCAGAGGCTTTTGACTTTGTGGCTTGTGACAAACTGTAGGTCACATTGTGGCGTGTTAGTAATCCAAACACTTAATTGTGCTCATGAGGAATCTGTACATAGACCAAGAGGCAGTCATTCATACAGTACAAGGGAACACTGACTAGTTTAAAAGCAGGTAAAATGTGTGCCAGGGTTGTATTTTTTCACCATATTTAGTCAATCTCTGTGTTGAGCAATCTCTATGTTGAGCAAATAATCCAAGAAGATTGGAGGTAGACTTGTTAACAAGCTGTGATATGCAGATGATGCAACCTTGCTTGCTGAAAGGGAAAAGGACTTAAAATACTGGTGAAGATCAAAGACCACAGTCTTCAGTATGGATTGCACCTCAATGTAAAGAATACAAAAATCCTCACCATTGGAGCAATAATGTCATGAGAAATGGAGACAAGATTGAAGTCATCAAAGACACTTATGGAAGCAGCAGTCAAGACATCAAATGACATATTCCATTAGGCAGATTTCCTGTATAAGTCCTATTAAAGTGTTCAAGAGCAAAGATGTCAGTTTCAAGACTAAGGTGCGCCTGACCCAAGCCATGGTATTTTCAGTAACCTCATATACTTGTGGAAATTGGACAGTGAATAAGGAAGATCATAGAAGAATTGATGCATTTGAGTTATGGTGTTGGAGAAGAATATTTAAAATACCATGGCCTGCTAGAAGAACAAACAAATCTGTGTTGGAAGATGTACAACCAGAATGGTCCTTGGAAACCAGGATGGTAAGACTTCATCTCTTATCTTGTCAGGAAGGACCAGTCCCTGGAGAAAGATACAATGTTGGATAAAATGGATGGTCAACGACAAAGAGGAAGACTCCCAATGAGATGGATTGCACAGTGACAGCAGCTGTGGCTGAAGCATCACAATTGTGAGGATGGATCAGAATCGGGCATTGTATAGTTCTGTTGTACATAGGGTTGCTGAGTTGAAATCAGCTCAATGGCAACAAGCAATTCCCTTAATCCTGTCACAACCCTGCTCAGATCTAAGAGCTTCACAGGGGTATGGTCTGCAACATCTTTTATCTTACAAAGATGAAAGAGGAGTGAACAGAGAGGGAGGTACCTACTACCACCAAGAAAGATGAGCCAGGAGGGGAGTGCATTGTTTGGACCAAGTCCCTGCACTGTGAAGCTCCTATATCCAGGAGAAGATTGGTGTCAAGACACATGGAGATCTCCAGGGAATGCTGGACCTATAGATGCTGAAGGAGACAAGGACCTTTTTTCAGAGCTAGATTTCTAAATTTGGACTTCTAGACTGAATTGTGAGAGAATAAATTTGTTTGTTAAAGCCATTCACTTATACTATTGTGTTACAGTAGCACTAGTTAACTAAATAACCAAGACATGTTTGTTTGTTTTTTTAAAGTTTTTATTGTGAATTGAGTGATAGTTTACATGGGACAACATCGATGTTACACTCATCCTATTGTATTTCGTTTCGCTACAATGATTACAATCCCCTGAATGCATCATCATTCAACAGTATTTGCTTCTACTCCCTCGGTTTTTATTTGGACGTACACAAAGGCACTCAGGAATATATAATCATTTAAACAAGCAAAGAGCACATTCTGTAGGCTTGCCTCCTGGCTGCCACACACAGCTTTTCTTGTTTCATGAACTAAGACATGTTTTTCATAAGCTTATTTGAAGTGACTTATAGACTTCTGTTGTGATGCTGTAGGATCAGCACTGGACTGAGAACCACCAGGTCAGCATTTCAAACCCACCAGCAGCTTCTTGGAAATGCTATACAGAGTTACTATGCGTTAGAACTGACTATACTTAGTAACGATAGCTACATGGTTATAAAGAACATATATGGAATCAGTGGATTATCAACCAACCAGCTGCCATTGAGTCCACTCCAGCTCATGGCAAGCCCATCTGTCTGAGTAGAACTGTGTGTGCTCCATAAGGTTTTCAGGGAGTAGATTTCCAGGCCTTTCTTCCAAGGTGTCTCTGGATGGGCTCAAAGCTCCAACATTTTGATAGAAACCAAGTGTGTTAACTACAATGGAAATGCTTGATTTGATGTAATAGTAAATAAAAGTTTAAAAAAACCTTTTGCTTTTGACTTGATTCCAACTCATGCAACCCTGTGTTACAGAGTAGAACTGCTCCATAGAGTTTTCTTGACTATAATGTTAGTGGAAGCATACTGCCAAGCCTCTGTTCTATAGTACAGCTGGGTGGGTTTGAACCACCAAATTTTAGGTCGAACACAAACCATTTGTGCCACTCCGGGACTTAGTAGAGACAAAAATACTAAAGTCTATGTTGGTTATAGTTTTATATCTTCCTAGGACAAATAGAACTTGGTTTTTGTGTGGAAATTTGCTACTCTGTCAAAGATCTAAATTTACTAATTGCTGAAAAGGTTGTTAATAGATGAGGATATGCATAGGAAACAACAGGTTCTCAATGAAAAGGGATCTAGGAGAAATTTAGGAGGAGCCTGTGAAACCTGTCTGTATTTGAGTTAGTAACTTCTCCAAGGTTTGCAGGTTCGTCCCATGAAGGTGTTGTTATTGGTAGTGATTCCATGGGACTGGGAGGTACACCTACTCCCCCTAGGCTATCATCTTTACAAGAGCAGATTGCCAGAGCTCTCTCCTTTGGAACCACTGGGTGGATTCCAAACTTGAAATTTTCAGTTAGCAGATTAGCTCTCAAGGATTGTGTCACAATGTCTTGTTTATTAACTGTAGTGTTCATTCTTGGTTTAAAGTATAAATGTTCTTTGACAGTATGACTTTAAGTCATATCAGCTCTCTGCACTTTATATTATTTATTTCAAGGGAAAAAGAACTTCAGCCTGTTGATTAGTTTGTGCTTTAGAGAAGGGGAGCCATCTCATTAGGGGCTGAGGGGAGGTAGGATGTGGGGCTGAATTCTAGTCGGTGCAGCAGGCATGGGTGTTAGCATGGGGCTATGTCTGCACACACAGGGGTAGCTTTTCCAATTTCTCACAGAGCCCCATCTGTTCACCAGCCAGTACCTAGCAGTACTGAGTGTTAAAGCAAGCAGGGATGGAGAGGTGACAGGTATATGCTCAGAGATGCTCATAGGCCAGTGGTGGTTTTTATATACCTACCTCTTGGGATTGTTAATGGAGAAGAGTGAGATGTGTGTGAAAGTGCTTTGGAAGTGTTACATAACATAACACCTTGTTATGTTACTGTTCATCTGTGGTTTATTTTAGGGTAGATACAACAAGAATCGATTACTCCATTCCTTTAAGAGAAAACTGGGCATTACCCTATTTTGCATGTCAAGTTGCTGCACTTACAGGCTATTTAAAAAGCAATTTAAATACTTACACAGAGGTAAGATTCAAATCTGTTTTATTAATCACTTAATTCAGATCTATTATAAATGTGGTACATCATTTTAAAGTTAAGTTATATTCTATGAAACCTAGTACAGAATACCAAGACTAACCTTGTAGAGAATATCAGGTAGTATAAAGTTGTAGAGAATACAAAGAATAACCCCGTTCTCTACTCTGATTGGAAATGATTTTTTCCCTTTTATTTTCTTGAAATTCTTACATGATGGTGAACTTTGAACAACGATTGGGTTTTGTTTTTTTTTTTCTTTATAGGGTACTTTATTTAAAATCTTATTCTTTATGTAAGGATTAAATGTGTTTTACAAATGAAGCTTCAAAGGCTATGTAGCTTAAAGTTGAACTAGTAACAGAACTGTAACTTTTGAGGGGGAAACCTCATTGATACTTAGTTTCTTTCTTTTATTTCTCCTAGAGGTTTTGCTACTTATTGATGAGTGCTTCCACTTACACTTTTATGATGATGTGGGAATACAGCCACTATCTCCTGTTTCTCCAAGCAATATCTCTATTCCTGCTAGATAGCTTTTCACTGGAGCAAAGTGACAAGGTATAGTGTGGAACTAAGATTTTAAACCTAGAGAATAAATGTTTTAGTAGTGTTATAGCTTAAAACCATTTAGCTTTTAAGGGTTATTTTGAGGGATTTATGTGTACACTCAAAAGGTTGCTAACCTCATTCTCCCTACTCATTTTAGAAGCACTTTGAAAATTCCTTAGTCAGGCAGCCTTCTCAATTCAAGTCACCCCTGTGCTTCCACTCTTACTTCGGGCCATGCCTCCTCCATCTCTTTCTGTTTATTCAAAAAAGGAAAACAAAAAACAGAACATGTACAAAAGCATATGTACACTAAACGTACAGTTTATAGAACAAAATATGAGTGCTTACTGGCCCTGTGAAGGAATGGAGCATTTGAACCCTTACAGCCCCCGGTTCCCTTTTCCTGAGTCACGTCCTGCTCCTTCCCCCACAGAGGCTTACTAGCCTCAATTTGGTTAATATTTTCCTTTTTTCAAAAAAAATTTTTTGCCTCCTATCTTTATATTCCTAAAAAATATATTGTAAATAATATTTTATTTACTTTTGAGATACATCCATGGAGATGCTTAAATTATATTCCATTTATTTTTTATTATACATTTTGCTTTTTTTCTAGTTTGTTTTATTCATATGACCAAAGCTGCTGTTTAACATTCTTGTATGTGTTAATACCTGCCATATATGTACAAGATTTCACTGGAGTTTATACCTAGTGATGGAATTATAAGTCAAAGGATATTTATGTATTCATCCTAACTCTAAATAATATCAAGTGTTTTTCCAGAACAGCAATATCGCTTTACACTCCCACCAGCAATAGATAAAGGTTTCTCTTTCTGTCATTCTACCCTTTATTTATGAAGTCCTGGTGTGGTGTTATGGGCTAATGGGCTAGACTGAAAAGGCTTGAACTACAAGATCGCCGATTTGAGCTTACCAGCTGCTCCATGGAAACCCTATACAGGGTAGCTGTGAGTCGGAACCAAATCAGTGGCACTTAACAACAACCCTTTACTTACCAAACATTTACTAAATACTTTTCATGTCTTACTCTTTTCTTCCTGGTTTTCATTTCATATATTCATATAGCCCAGAGCCCTGATAAGTCCCAACATTTATTTGAACAAAGATAATTTAATATATATATATATAGTTGTTTACCAGGCATAAAATTGTTAATCAAAGGATGAAAAGAATTCAGTATTGTAGCGGTAGCTACTACTGGAGTAGGTACCTCCTTTAGGGCTAAGGAAAAGATTTTGAAATGACTAAAACTTAGAAATTTAAAGGAGGAACCCCATGGAGCTGAAACTTGAACCTCAGAAGGGCCGCTGCTCAGCTTTACTGTTGTCTCTGAGCTTGAAAGAAGAACGTTATGGAACTGGGTCTTGGCCCCTGAGGATGTGCCCTGGGACAGGAGGATGCAGTGAATCTGATTCTTAATGTGTTAGACAAACGGCAACTACACTCCGTTGTTTTAACAAGAAGTTGTTCTATCAGGGTGAAGTGCTGCTGAAATGATCTAGGAAGTATCGTCTCATACCTACTTTACAAGACAGAGAAGATGGGGGCAAGTTTGGAGCTAAGAGGCTCAGTACCTGGCACATGTGTAGAACCAGTACCCAAACTAAGAAGTAAAACATTACTAGTACCCAGAAAACCTGATGCCCTTTCCCAGCCATTGCTTTAGACCTCTCAAGGATAGCCACTATCCTGACTTCTAACAGTGAAATCTCTCTTTTTGGGGGAGGTGATAAATAGTTATAGCTTCTCAAGGTTTTCTTTCACTTTTAACACTGCCTTTGACTTTCCCCTTAATTGGACTTACAGTATGACACTGAAGGATCAGCACTGGACTTCAAATCTCAAGGTCAGTGGTTCAAATCCACCAGCTGCTCCTTGGAAATCCTATATAGGGTTGCTATGAGTCAGAACCAATTCAATGGCACTTAATAACAACAACAACAATTGTATGTTGGAGTCCTGGTGTGGCACTCTAGGATAAGTACTGATGGCTAACCACAAGGTTGGCAGTTCAAACTCACCAACCACTCCTCAGAAACACTGTACAGGGTTGCTATGAGTCAGAACTGACTCAGTGGCATTTAACAACATTATTGCCATTGCTTTGTCTTAATGGTCCCTTTCTAAAATTAACTTCGTGATAGATTAAAATATTATACTATTAAGGCTGTTGTTGTTAAGTAATGTGGAATTGGTTCCGACTATCAATGGTTCCATAGAAGAAAGATGAGGCTTTCTGCTCCCGTAAAAATTTATAGCCTCGGAAGCCCTATAGAGGGTCACTATGGGTTGGAACTGACTTGACAGCACTTAACAACAATGTATTACAGATTTTGCAGATTTGCATAGTTTTTGCAAGTGTATATAAAGATGAATTTTAATAATAGGAAAAAAACTGAATAAACCAAGTGAAATTAAGTCAGAGCCTGGGAGTAAGAATGTTCCTCCAGTGTGATTTTTTTTTTCAAGTAATATTTTATTGTGTTTCAATCTTGCAATAACAGTGATCTAGGAGTACATACATGGATAAATACACAAGCTGAATGAGTGTGGGAGGGAAAGTAGAAGTATGCATGCAAATATATAAAGGTTTGACAAAGGATATTTGTACATGGGTGTTTACCTTTGTTGCAAACATATTGATGAATGTGATGAAGCATGTTGTTTTTGTTAAGTGCCATTGAGTTAGTTCTGGCTCATAGTGACCCCGTATAGAGTTTCTAAGGAACAGCTGGTGATCTTGAATCGGCAACCTTGTGATTCAAACTGACTTTGCAGTCCAGTGCATTAGCCCATAGTGCCACACCAGGACTCCATGATGCAGCATATAGAGGGTAAAATTATAAAAACTTAGCCATTACTAAACACCTTGAAGGAATAAATTGCTGGGCCCGAGGGCTCAGGATCATAGTCTCTGGGGACACCATAGATAATTCACATACAATTTACAAAGACAGTGTTCTACATCCTACTTTGATGAGTAGTAACTGGGATCTTAAAAGCTCATGAGTGGCCATCTAAGATGCAATTATTGGTCTCTCCCTGTGCAGAGGAAAGAGTGATGAAATTTGAAGATGCTTGAAAGCGATTAGTCTAGTGGACTAATGGACCACCTGAGCATCAGTCTTCATGACCCTGAGTCCATAAGAACTAGGTGGTACCTAGTTACCACTACTAACTGCTCTTGAAGGAATCACATTAGAAGGCCCTGGATAAAGTAGGATAAAACTCAAAGTCATCATAGAGACCAGGCTTACTGGTCCGATAGATACTGGTGGACTCCTGAGACTATGTCTCTTGGACACCTTTCAGGTCTGGAACTAAGCTCACCTCATGGCTCAATTTAAAGTCAAGCAAGAGATAGGTATACAGTGGGGACAACTCTAGTGAGGTATGCACACTACAGAATGGTCAACCATTCGAGATCAAAAGGGCAGTATCAACCTTAGACCAAAATTCAGAAGGGTTAGGAAATAAAGGACTAGAAACCACAAACAGGAAAGAAGTGGGGTAAGTGAGGTGATTACAGTCACTGAGATGAAACTCAGTGTTGATTTGTTGAATGTAAAACTATAATCTGTTTTGTAAACCTTCACTCAATTCATAAAAAAGGTTATTATACTATTGACTGCCATAAGAATGAACAAATCCATCTTGGAAGAAGTGTAGTCAGAATGCTGCTTACAAGCCAAGATGGTGAGATTTCATCTCACATACTTTGGACAGGTTATTAGGAGTAACCAGTCCCTGGAGAAGGGCATGTTGTTGAAAAGTGCTATCAAGTTAGTTCTGACCCATTGCGCAAGCCTATATAGGGTTTCTAAGAAGTGACTGGTGAGCTTAAATCGTCGACCTTGTGATTCAAACCCACCTTGCAGTCCAGTGCATAGAGAGATTAATAGTTGTGTCTTAGATGGATTCCAGTATTATTTAGACACCTGTAGTTTTAAATCTTTTCACTTTGTTTGTAACGGGTGCCTTCTAAAAGCAAAGTGTTAAATTCATTATATACCGTAGCATTTTAAAAAATGGTTTTAACTGTTTTCAGAGTATAATACTATATTTGGAGTTTTGGTATGATTCTGTAGAATAAGCACTGAACCTTGTGGTCAGTTTGAACTGCAAGATAGGTGGTTCATATCCACCAGCTGCCCCTCAGAAACACTTTACAGGGTTGCTATGAGTCATAATTGACTTGACTTGATGGTACTTAATACCACCACCAATACTGTCTTAAATTACAGTAAAGCATTTATTTACTTTATAATTGTAGTTTAATGTATTCCATACAAAGCTAATGAAAAGATGTACAATATAATTTAAATTTATTCCTAATCATTTTCTTTTTTTTCCAACAGGTTCATGAAGTTTATAAAATCTATATATTTTCTCTGTTTCTGGGATATTTGCTACAGTTTGAGAATCCAGCTTTATTGGTGTCTCCTTTATTGAGTTTGGTAGCAGCCTTAATTCTTGTTAAGTGCCTTCAGGTAATTAAAATTGCCTTACCGTCCTTGTGATTAATTTTTTAAATAATTGATTTTTCTGTGCCTCAATTCTTTGTTCATGTGTATTTTCCCCCACAGCTGAATGTGAAGAAAGGAACTTTTGTAGGTAAATTGATGAAAGTGATTAATTTTTACTTGGTGTGTACTCTCACAGTGACATTCAATATTATAATGAAGGTAAGTAACCTTATGTGTTTCATGTAATAGAGCAAATTAAATAATAAAATATATTGGACTAAATGTCAGGAATAATGATATAGCAAGGTAACAGTACAGTATAATTTGAGTTGAAAATGATCATACCTAGCATATTGGGTGAGAAAGTAGAATTTTGATTTTTTTCTTGATAATTTTTTTTTTTTTAAAGAAATACATTTTACTGTTTCATTTAGTTAAAAATGTCTTTATCACCCAATTAACATTAAACAATACATGGAATAAATGATTGAGGTAAATAAATGGTATTTAGAAGAGTGGATAAATTACACAAACAAGGCAAAAGAAAATTGCTGTATTCTTACTGCTATACTGTCTTGGGCAGGGTTTTCTAGAGAAGCAAAACCAGTGAAACATATATATGTACATATATATGTTGTTGTTATGTGCCGTGGAATCAGTTCTGACTCATAGCTACCTTGTACAAAATTTTCAAGGCTGTAAATCTTTACGGAAGCAGAGAGCCTCAAACTACCAGTGGAACAGCTGGTACTTTCGAACTGCTGACCTTGAGGTTCGCAGCCCAATTCGTAACTAAACCCGATTCGTAAACACTACGCTACAAGAGCTCCTTATGCATATATATAGAGAGAAGTTAATTATCAAGGAAATGGCTTACAATTGAAGAGTCCTAGGTCTCGAGTGGATGAGGGAGCGAGTCTTTCCCATATTTCTATTCTATTGAGAGCAGGCCACAATCCATTCATTTGATTGGCTGCTAATTACCACTTATAGAATTAACTGTGCTTTTATTCGGTTTCATCACATGAGCATAAGCTCATCTTAACTGTTAAACCATGGGAATCCTGGCCTAGTCAAATTGACACAAAATCTAAACTATTACACCCACTATAGTTTTATGCTTAAGTCTTAAAAGAGAATGTGCTTGACATACATGAATAAATTTCCTTGCTTCATAGTTACACCAGGTATTATTTAATTACTATTTTTGTTATGTTGTCTTGCTCTATTTTCTGTATCTAATATTGGGTAAGGCTTATTGCTATAAGCATAGCTAATAGTTATTTCTTTAACTAGTTTTTTTCTCCTTCAGATGTTTGTCCCTCACAAAGAAAATGGATACATGCTGAAATTCCTTGAAGTAAAATTTGGGTTAAACATGACTAAGTAAGTTATAGATATATAACTGACTTTATACCACTTAGAAATAAAGAATAAAGATATCAAATGGAGGGAGTATATACCGAATTATACTATTGTTAGGTGCCTTGGGGTCAATTTTTCGTTCATAACAGTCCCATGTGATAGAACAGAACTGCCCGTCGAATTTTTCTAAGCTGTAATGTTTATAGAAGTAGATTACCAGGTCTTTCCTTTTAGCACCTGATCACATAATCACTGCACCACGAGGGTTCCTTCCTAAGTGTATACCACTGAGAAAAGAAATAATTAAGATGTAATATGTGGAGAATATCTAATACTAGTATTTTTTCTCAGTGTGAAAAATTTCCTATTTAGGTGTTTTTTTTTAATACTTTTTAATTGTGATTTAAGTCTGTTATAAGTTGTTGTTGTTAAGTGCCATAGAGTTGGTACTGACTCATACCAGCCCTACGGACAACAAAAGAAAACACTATCTAGTTTTGCACCAAACTCACAATCATTGCTACATTTGAGTCCATAGCTGCTACTGCTGTGCCAGTCCATCTCATTGGGGGGTTTCCTCTTTTTCTCCAACCCTCCATTTTACCAAACTTGATATCCTTCTCCAAAGACTGGTCCTTCCTTACAGTATATCCTAGGTATGAGTGAAGAAGTTTGGCCATCCTGGCTTTCAAGGAGTATTCTGGCTGTCTTCTTCCAACACACGTTTGTTCTTTTAGCAATCCATGGTACTTTCAGTATTCTCCTCCAACACCATAACTCAAATGCATCAGTTCTTCTGTGGTCTTCCTTTTTCACTGTCCAACTTTCACATGCATATGAGGTTATTGAAAATACCATGGCTGTGTCATGCATACCCTAGTCCTCAAACTGACATCTTTGGTCTTCAGCTCTTTAGAGAGGTCTTGTGCAGCAGATTTGCCTAATGCAGTATATTGTTTAATTTCTTGACTGCTGCTTCCATGAATATTGATGATTGATCCAAGCAAAACGTTCACTTATTTGAAGGACCTGTGATTTTAATGTCATCATTTTTGTTTTTTGTAGGAATTTTACAATGAATTGGCTGCTTTGTCAAGAATCCCTGCAGGCACCATCTCAAGATTTCTTTTTGCGATTGACCCAGTCTTCTTTATTACCTTTCTATATTTTAGTGTTAATTATTTGTTTTTTTTCTATGGTGCAAATTATTTTTAGAAGAATTAAGTAAGTATCTCTGAGAGTCAATAACATTAGGAAAATACATAAAATGCTTCTTTTAAATTGTTGTTGTTGTTAGATGCCATCAAGTTGGTACCGACCCATAGTGACCTTATGCACAGCAGAACAAAACACTGCCCGATCCTGGGCCAAGCTCACTACTGTTGCCAAACTTGAGTTCATCGATGCTGCCACTTGGCCAATCCATGTCGTTGGGGGTATTCCTCTTTTTTACTGACCCTCCACCTTACCAAACATGATATGCTCTTCTAGCGAATGTTCCCTCCTGACAATATGTCCAAAGTATGAGAGACGAAGTTTGGCCATCTTGGCCTCTAAGGAGCACTCTGGCTGCACTTCTTCCAAAATGGAGCTGTTGGTTCTTTGGGCAGCCCATGACACTTTCAGTATTCTTCACTACCATAACTCAGATGCATCAATTCTTCTATGGTCTTCCTTATTCACTGTGCAGCTTTCACATGCCTATGAGGTTATTGAAAATACCATGGTTTGGGTCAGGCACACCTTAGTCCTCAAGCTGACATCTTTGTTCTTCAGCACTTTCAAAAGGTCTTGTGCAGCGTATTTGCCTAATGCTAATAAGTCGTTTGATTTCTTGACTGCTGCTTCCATGAGAGTTGATAGTTGATCCAAGAATAATGAAGTACTTGACAACTTCAGTCTCTTCTCCATTGATAAGAATGTTTATTGGTCCAGT